GTCAGCTTTGCAAGAAGAAGCAGGCAATTTATTTCAAATAATAATAAATTAATCTTAACTCTGATAGTTCCGACTGTGCGAAGATGGACAATTTTCGAGTATCAGGAAATAGAACTCCATAATTAAATAAGTTATGAGCCATTTGTTATCTCCACGTAACATTTGCACGTAAAGGAATAACGAACGGCATTTCAGGAACAGCGAATACTGTCAAATTTTCTAGCGTCTCGCAATAGCACAACATAACTAAAGTGAACTTGAGCGGCATGCGGGAAGTATGAATGGATGAATGAGATCTAAGGTACTGACTGACTGACCTCGTAACAACTAATGGGACGTCTCAGGTGCAGCGAAAACCGTCTTAATTTGGGCTGATTTTCTAGCGTCAGGCAATAGCACTTCATAAATAGACTGAACTTGACAGGAATCTATGGAATAAATCTACGGTTTGGGGCTCGTAACGTTTGCATGACTATAAGGACGGTGGAGGAAGGGAGAACTGAGTAATACATGCAGATTTTCGCAACAGCACTTCATAACTGGACATGACTTGAGCTGCAACATCAGTATAGTTCTGGTAAAATTTGCTAGGTTAGGACGGCATCTCAGGTGAAAAGGATGTGTTAACAATATTCCAAAAGTTATATAAACGTTGTGGCTTTTCACACTCATTTCAATCATCTAACTAAAGGCACACAACGTGGAATATGCTAAATATTTTAGTTAAAAGCTTACTTTTTTCACGAAAATTCCAAATTCCCTTGGAAAATGTGGCATATGTCCTTCGGCGATTCAAAAACTATATTTGATTAGAATTAGACGAAGACGTAATGAGACTCATATTTATTATTTTATTGGATGAATTTATTAATAATTATTGAACTTTCAATATCCGACTTTATAACGTCGATTTAGCAGTAGGCTATGAAGTTGAACAGTTCGTTCCCAATTCAATAATGATCGAGGAGTTTATACTGGATAACGCTGATAATCTACCAAATATTCAAATAATTCATACAAATGTTCGTACAAATTCAGACGAGAAGCTACTTCTGATAAATATCGTCTCCGTCATTCAAGTATTGCATTGCTCTCGTTCAATTACATAACTTCATTGCTTCGCACCATTCGGCTCCGATGAGCATAAATTAATAAACCTTCTCTGAAAACAAAATTTAATTCTGTGCCGGCTGTATAAGCATCTTCGTTAACACTTGGCCATAAAGGGGAAAGAATCGAGTAAAACAACGGCAAATGTTTGGCTTTTACTCTCCATACAGAAAAATCTTAATAGAAATGTCAAAAAGCTCAGCCTCTAAATCAAGCTGCGTAATATTAACACCACAAAAAGATGGCACACTCGCGTGGAGAACGTGAACGAGTGCAACTGAAGTGCACCATTAAGAAGCATGAGGCTCCTCCAAAGAACATTGAATATCTGCAGGCGTGTAAAATATTCAGTTATCACATGAAGTAAATCATCCATACCATGCGTGCATACGCGAACAAATAACCAGATTTATTCGATAAAATCTACATGCGAGATTCAATACTCTATTTCTTTGTCGCTTTGCACTGAAGTGAATTATCAATTACTAGGCATGACACACAATAAATTACACGAAAAGCTTGCTAAACTTTTTGAGTGTGGAAAGTGCGGTTAGATACGCTCCGGAGTTAAATATTTGTACTTTACATTGCAAGGGATAAAAATGGTTTGTCTGTCAATTTTAATGTAATTTGAGGCGGCAGTATTTGTAAAATGGTGTATTATTATAAATTTAGCTTGTAATTATAGTTTAGAGTTTACTGGATACTTGTTGCGTGGAAAGCCTGAGCGGAGGTATGTAGTGTGCTAGGATTCGATACCGATTCGCAAATAATAGTCGTGGAATAGTTTTGTGAATAATTGGATTTAAAGTTTTTAGTCATGTTTATTTGTCCAGTTTATTATTCGTTATTTATGTATCTTTAATAATTTAGGAAAGCCATATATCGTAGCTAAAATGCCAAGACTGAATCACAAGAGTTGGTTTATTAGTGTTTATTCATTATTTAAAGTTCCAGCACGTTGATCATTTAAATTTGTTTATTAAATAATTGTGAAATAAAGTGTTTTAACAATGATTCATCGGTAAGCTTTAGCCTATGCGATCATTAAGGCAAGTTAGCGGTTTTGGGAGCCCCAAAACAAATATAACCAAAATTTGAAAAGAAGTTACCTACGCGTCTAAAATTTCCAGATACGGCTTCCAACCTTGTTTTCCCCATTAAAACGAAGTCTTTTTTTCTGGAGGAAGTATGATCTCACCATAATTTCCTACAACATAGAATCTGATACCCATAATGCGCACGAGAACAAATCTATGGATCGCTCCCGAACTGCCTTCGGAATTTCTCGGTTAAAAACATTGTAATCGATTACCTGAAGTAGTAGAGTCAATACGATAGACCTTCTTGCCTCAAAATAATTATAAAATCCACATGTCAACTCTGGCACAAAAAAAATGATACAGCGATGTGAAAAGATAATGGCACAATGAGAAGATACTCCGAGTGTAACATGAGCTCGGTTTCACATCTTTAAAGCTTGTCTGCCATGTTACAGACGCTTGCATAAAAATCACTACTTAGTGAATTATACTAACAAAGATAAAGTAGTAAAATTTTATAATAGTATCAAAACCTAACATTAAGGTACCGATAGTAAAAAACTTAACACGGATTCGCTACATTGCTTCCTGCATTTTTTATAGCGCAAAAAGTTAGCACGTTTCATGTCCCTTTAAGTTCACAAGCATGGCTGGAAAATCCAGTGGGCTGAATATATTGTCAATAAGTTATGGGGGGGAAACTTGTGATATTCCGGTGAACGGTGCTGCGAACATCCCAGTAGTCATTTCCAGTCAATTACGGAATAACCCTATGTGCTACTGATAGACTTTACATAATATCAGATATATACCACAGTTTTGATACATAATTTGTTAATTTAAATTGAAATACTATAGTATACTAACATTTTCTCAAGCAATATCCTCCAATACGCACTATAATTCACTTCTTTTTTAATCGTCTATCAATTTCAACTCTACAGTGCGCCAGGTTCCTTTTAAATTTCTACAGAGCGCCACGTTTTCCTTAGGAGGCCCAAGGAGATAAAAATGGATCTTGTCACCACGCCGCTAGCTTTCACAGCCGGCATGAGTTTATCATCGGATTCAACGCATCAAATGGTCTAAACCAGCACTTGTTCATCTCGAGTATTTACCCCCAATACAATTGATATCGTTCTTATTTCACTAGGAAAATTTTTCATTTCACGCCATTTAGAGTAAAGTCGAAGAAAAGTCCGACAGGAAATTCAGCGTAGAACTTTGTTATATACACAGGTTGTGTATGACTCCTTCACAGGAGTCATACAAGCGTCGAGCAAGGGGCACGCAGGTGTCTGGCAAGGGGCACGCAGGTGTCTGGCAAGGGGCACTCAGTGTCTGGCAAGGGGCACTCCAGTGTCTGGCAAGGGGCACTCAGTGTCTGGCAAGGGGCACTCAGGTGTCTGGCAAGGGGCACGCCGGGTTCTGGCAAGGGCACAGTAATCATGCGGAATAACATGCAGAGGTATTATGTAGAAATTCAGAATTACCCTAAAAAATATTTATACAATAACTCGACATTTCACACAGAAGTCACGAGCTTGTGTCTGGGACTTTGATATGAAGATTTTTTTTGTTCAATTTTTTAAAGCGAGACAAACTGCCTCTACAGAGTTTACATTCAATTGGAATTTTAATATCGAATGGACTTGGGACCGAGCGCATAATGTTAAAAAGTTGCAGCTGTTAAATTCGGACGAAATGCTCAGAAATCTTTATGAGCCACCTTAGCAACAATAGGAAGCAGCACATCTACCTTCGAATGTTTAAATTTAATGTAGAAGTTCTCATTTACTAGTAAAAAAAAAGGAATAACGTCTTTGCGGTTTCAGACACGACTGTAAGCTTCAATGACTTGCATCGTTTCAGGCAACCTTTTTGTCAATGAATGATTTTTAAATTAACTTAAATTAAATTTCCAAATAGTCCAGCCAGGTTTCATTTCATTTATTTCAATGTCATTTCTCGAAATTAAAAAAAAGTATAGACAATTTCTGTTACGTATATTATCATTATGTTTACTGTTACGAGTGTTAATTTATTAAGAGTTACACACCCAACAAATATTACTTACCTAGGATATTTGGCACATATTTGCAAGGTTATATTAACCCAAGTTTGAATAAAATGATAAGTTTTATTCAAGTTTGAATAGAACGAAACGCCGTAGATAAACTATCAGCGAGGCGACACACAATTATTCCCGATGACTGTGAAGGAACGTCAGAGATCACACTGAGCAGTTCATAATAATGCACTGCAAAATTCTGCCATCTAGCCATGCATAACTTTGTTCAATCTCCTTTATTTGCATTATCTTTGAACTATATACAAGACGATAATATATAAATGGTAACATTTTGTCCCTATCTTTACCGGCACATTCCGTATATTGTCCCTAATGCAAAGAGTTGTTCCGATGTCAGCTCTCATTTCTGATTGACTCGCGAATATTTGGATTCCAAATTGAGAATGAATATATTTCTTCACCCCGTGCTCATTCAGGTTACATTCATTTAATAAATTATTTTCGCGATGGATACGCACCATAGAACTTGCTGATTAGTCCGCTTTGTTATAGTTATTAAGCCCTTTGTTTACTGACGGAACTCTCGTAGATAGGCCTGTAGATATCATATCTCGAAGGCCTGTAGATACCAATAGCATTAACAGAGGTTCATCCATATAAGCACCAAGTGTTATACCTTTTGTCTACTGACGTATCTCTTCTTACCAGGGGCCATACTTTCAAAAAAAGTTAAGAGATCGCAAGTTCATCAGCCAATCATTGACGGCCTTTCAAGCAAAATCCACCAATCATGGGCAAGGAAATAGAGCGTAAGTACTTACGTTCACTTTGCGAGTTTTGAAAGTATGGCCCCAGGGCTTTAGTCACGCATAGCGGAGTATTAAAGTACAGTAATCATTAGATAAGTGTTTAATCCGCTTCATGTCCAGTCGGGGCTCGTGTGTGCAGAGGCGGAGGGGTTACTCCTCCGTCCCGGGGAGTTCGGACCTGAACTTGCTCAGTAGTTCACCTGAAATTAAGGCAACCGTAAATGGGTTGGAACAGAAATACACAGATTACTCAACAACAACATCGAAATACTGATACGTTTGCGAGTTTTGATTTCCAAACTAACTTTATAATATGATAGCCTCAAAAAGTCCAAAAGAATAAATAACATAATGTCATGCACGGCAGGGGGTTCACTATTGACAACTACACTAACTTTGCGAATTAATAATTTAGTTGAATTTAGTGTAACCTAAAACTAATGAGGACAAATGTCTAGACCGGAGTCCAGCTAAGAGAGGACGAATGAAGGAATACATCGGCAAATTTGTACGGGGTTGGCTAGACATCACCTACGAATCATTTAAATTTTGTTAATGCATGTTTTGCAGTGAACAATGAAGGCATTTAAAGCAACTTCCGGCGTCGCAAAAAGAGGCTCAGGCAAGGATGTCCTCGATCTGCCAGTATAACATTACTTGTTTAATACAGCAAAGGATAAACCTAAAACAACAACCTCCAAATATTGATACGTGGAATGCAGTGCATTTACAAGGTAGTGACGAATGTGCCTTTTTTGACTGTTTCTGATGAGTAGCTCTTCTTCTTGCCATGCTAGCATTATCCTTTCATCCCATTAAGGTTTATAAGAAAGTGGGTTAATTGTTGAACACTTTGAAAGGAGGGAACAGAGTAAGGAGGAACGGCTTACCGCGGCCGACAATAAATCAACTTATGGTAACGAATAACTCACCATGAATCAATTAGACAAACTATGAAGACTGTCACACTAGAACTAAGACTTTGGTACTTGAACCGAGACAATAATGCTTGAACTAAGACCGAGATACCGTAACAAAAATCTGACAGTTTACAGTAAGACTATAATACTTGAACTAAGAACAACTTGAGCTGCAAACCCTCTATTCTTCAAGACTATAAGGCAAGCTATACATGCAGCGCCGTGCCATTGGGGATAGTCAGTGCTGGCATCTCAAACACGATCGAGAAGTGAAGCTAACGCAGTCATGCTCGGCTCAGGTATAACTGCGAAGACCGTAGGAGCTACGGTGATACAAGTAAGTTGATCGCAGAGTCGCCAATTGACCATGCAAATAATGAAAGCAAACAGAATAATTAGCAAGTGTGCGATGAGACATGGAAGAAATTCTGACGTAGATGGAATAATAAAAATTATTCAGCTTTGAACCAACGTTGGGTAGGCCGCAACAAGCATACCGGTGAAAGAGATTTGGTTTAACAGAATTTATACTCTGAAAAATAGAAAAGATAAACGTGCATTACCTGTTAATATTAATTGAAATTTTATAATTAACATTGACAGAAAATGATATGAGGAAAAAAATAATTTAGTTCAAGAGAGAAGCTCCCATGCGTGCAAGAATAGAAACGGAACTTACGACGCTAGGCTTGAGAAAAGGGAGCGAGATGGGCGCGTTGGGGCGAGAGTGTGAGGTCAGGAAAGAGGGTAAGAGCCAGGAAAGAGGGTAAGGGCCAGGAAAGAGGGTAGGGGCCAGGAAAGAGGGTAGGGGCCAGGAAAGAGGATAGGGGCCAGGAAAGAGGGTGAGGGCTAAGACATAAGGCGAGGGTCAAGAAAGTGTTCAGTGCAAGGAAGGATTGCGGGTGACAAGAGCCTTTGTGGAGGCACGGCATGAAGGGGCCGGATGCACGCGGGTACCTGCTGGAGCTCTGGCTGATGGTACGCTGAAGTACCGAGGATCGACTTGGTCAGGATGGTGGAAGCCTTTAATGGAGTTAGTGGCACCGGTAGCCGCAATGGTTGCGTGTTTGTGCTCCATTTTCTTCAAACCTAAGCCACGAGCGTAAATGCCTCCCCGTCCAGGAAAAGGATTGACAGAAGCAAGCATGTGTGAGCCACCGCTATTGCCCCTGGTCAGGCACCGCGGCAGGGACGGCAAGGCTGGTAGAGGCTCGGTGAACGTGCTGAAAGATCCTGCCGAGCGCTCGTACGGAGGCGTGTCAGGCTCTATCGCAGTTATTGAGCTTCGTCTACGAATAACAACTGGAGTGGAAGCATCACTGTAAATTGGTTCGGAGGAAACGAATTTAGATGGAGGTAGAAAGCCATAGCCATCACCAACGACTTCTATGTTAAATTTCTTGTGTCTCTCATCAGAGGGAGGCGATTGATTCCTTTGAAGCGACATCGTCTTGGCAGATGATGGTGCCGGTGGAGGAGGAGAACTTGGCACGGTGCAAAGTTCATCGACGCTTGAACATCGCAGCAAGACGCTGTTTGTGAGTGGCGGCGGCAAGTCGACGAGTTCAGGTGGAGGTGGCAGTGGAAGAACTGTGGACAAGTTTCTCGACTGGATTTCGAGAGGTTCCATGGCAGGTGGTGGAAGAGGCACGCAGTCTTCTGAGCCCGACGAGCCGGACTTGGAATGAGTGCCCGATGAGGATGACGTCGACGCTTGTGAATGTATACCGGAATCACAGCGTTTGTCGGAAGGAGTGACGGATGACGCGGGTGATGGGGAACATACGGGATGGTCTGGGGAAGCCTCCTGGCATCCGCAAGCATAGATTAGGAAATAAGTTTGTTAATGGAGTTGTAGGATCAGAGATGAGTGAAAGTCGCTGCCGATAAGGGAAGTTGTTAAGGTTTTGGACACTCGCCTAGTAACAAGGGACTCTAATCGTGTGAACTCAGTAAACACGTATGAGAGCTCGGCAATTGTAACTTGTGAGCAGCATAAGTAACAGCAAACAGCAAATAAGTCATAAATTGATTCTCAACAACAATTTCTTCGGGCAAACGCAATCAGCAAAAATACAGATTGCAAACGCAATCAGCAAAAACACTAACTGCAACAACAATCAGCAATATTAATAATAGCAAACGCAATCAGCTATGCTACTGATTGCAGCAGCAATCAGTTATAGCTCTCAAGCACACTTGAGCATGACAGAAACTGCAGTCAGCATCTCACAATGTATAACAAAATCGAACAATGTTTCACGTTGCAATGACCTTGACATATGAGTGAATACAGAAAAACCATTTTCTTCTACAGTTTTGCAAGTTTTGATAAGTGACAGTGGCCTTTGTAGAGGAAATGGGTAAGTCCAGTTCAGTGGATCACGAGTTTTACCGGCTGCAAGTTACTTCCATCAACCATTGGCTTAGCAAAAATCCGTGAAAAATAATGCTCGACTCTCAAGCAAGTTTGATAACTTATGTAATGCTAAAATTTCTACGGCAGTCTCGTAGCACTTCGGGTTTTCATGATGGTGTTTTAATCTAGTCTGACCATTGACGGTCGACTCATTGGAAAAAGTTCACCAGAGTTGTTGATATTTGAAAAAATCACTAAATTCAGCATGAAAATTAAAATGCGGGGATGGAAATTTGATTTAGAGTTTTGAGATAAAAAAATTAGACGATCGATATCTAACACGCAATTTTTTTTACTATCAGCTTGTAGCTAATGAGACGAGAGAAGCTTCTGATAGAACACGTATGGTTCGCATATTTTGAATATTGCAAATACAGCTTTGAGTTTCAAGTGAATATTAGGAATTAGAAATTCAGAGAATGGAAACTACGGGTAAATTTTCGGCAGAGCTTTCAAAATTAATGTTAGTTTTGAACAGTGTAAAAATATCAATACAAACATGTACACTCACGAGAGAATCTCCTTTCACGATTCGGATCTTGGGATGTGTCGCGGCAACAGGTGGAGATGCACATCTGTTGACCATGTTCCCCTGTTGGTGCTCCTGTTGCTGTTTGAGGGTCGGCTGTTTCTGTTGCATGCCTTCAGACGGGCTAATTTGGCTCAACTTTTGTAAGTGGTACGGAGGAGATGATGGTTGGTGAAGTGGTGGTGGAGGTGGTGGAGGCTGATCTTCCTCCTCATGCTGTAGGTGATGAGAGTGATGAGTGTTGTTGTGTGTGTGGTGAGAGTGGTGGCGTGAGAGGCTGTGGTGTGGCGGCTCTTCTTCCATGGGAGGAGGCAGCGGAGGCTGGAAAAACATGCTTCGATTACATTTATTACTGGCAAAAAATGCAGTCATTAGTCGATTATATAATAATAAAATAATCATTAAACTGGCTTAAATTTACTTTATGGTAAAATGCTTGAATAAACGCAACTCCTTCTTCATTTCATTGAAAACACACGACTGTGTATAGTAAAGAAGCGTTCAAAAGGTTAAATCCTCAATCAAATTTTTTCAGACAAAGTCAGCGCACCAGAAATAAGAAGTGGTACTTCATGAATCTGCGAACAGAAATTCAGTATATGAAATGGCAGAAGTTACTTTCTAATAGTCGTAAATTAAATATACAGTAGCGTCAGGAGATGAAGAGTTGTTAAAGAGCCTCAAACTGATGGATTTACCTCGAGAAAAACTATAATATCGAGCAGTTGCCCAGTGAATATTTGCAATATTCAGAGTGTCAGAATGCAATTGTAATCGATGGACGTGGAGTGGCAGAGCCTTTACTCAGCATTCTATTCAAGCACTATTAACAAAGAGAGGATGATGCTTTGTAAGTGTACTTGATGAAACGTTAATCGCTTCTCGACTAATCATACAGTACGTCACTCCAGCTTAAAGACAGGGAAGTTCACTACAATCGCTTCTCGACTAATCATACAGTACGTCACTCCAGCTTAAAGACAGGGAAGTTCATTACAGGGATTTGGGGTGTGGGGAATGAAAGGCACTCACAGGAGGAGTAGGTGAAGAAGGACAGTGAATGTGTGACTCAGCGCACTCAGGGGGAGGAGGTATGGGGAATTCCTCGCCGTCATTATTGCGATCTCCTTTCCCCCGCATTCCTTCCCCATGCTTCGAAATATCCACGCAGTCCTGAGGAACCTGCCGTTATTGCATTAATAAGCCAGCCATTACGATGAATAGTTGATTAATGAAATCATGATTAGTAGAAGAGTTAGAGGTGACTATATATACTCACAAGCAAGCTTTAGGGAGATGCTCATTATCTAATCTACCTTCCCACAAAATTATTTAGTATGAGAGTTTAAGATCACTATTGATATTAATAATCAAGCGTTAAGGAGAAGCTCGCTAACTACATTCTTTCCTACAAAGATATTTCTTCAGCAACGAACGTTATTTGGTGACCGATGAAGCCGCTCAGAACAAATCTTTCTTACATGCTGGTGAATGTCCTTCGAAACCATCAAAATTTGGTGAAGAGGCTGTCGCATCGCTTTAAATGATAGAGATAATCTAATTGTGAATAAAAGACCAACAACAATATAATTTATTGTTTCTTTATATAAATGATGGTTTTTAGTCTGTGTCCCGCCAATGATATTGATTCCATTTCGCCCACAAGGGAAGTACAGCAGCGATCCAAAGGCGGTTGACTGTTCAGTGGCTCGTAGAACACAAAAATATTATCAAAAATTCAGCATGAACAATTCTAAACATCGTCATGTTACCGACCACCTCCCAGTACAAATATATAAGAACTGAGATAACTTTCGTATCAATATTATAGCTGAACGAGGGAAGAGCGCACATGGCTATAATCAAATGGAGTATTTTAGTGTAGCAAAATTATTACTTAGACATTTTTTAACGAACATTTTCTAATTATTGGTTCATTCTAGCAGAGCTTCCGGAATGGTTCATAGAAGAGAGGCGGGACGACGTAAACAATATCGCCGACGTTGTCGATTCGATCTTCCAGAGATTCGAAGCGTAATTTCGAATTTATAAGGTTTGGGACGCACGATTTAGCTATGGGAAATAACTTTATAGATCGAGGTTGAGTTATTATTATCAACTTTATTGGTCGCTGTGGAAGAGTGCCATCAGCGCAACACTGCCTTAAGGAGGTAACCACGATGACTAAACTCTTTCAAAGTCAAGGCAACGTGCTACGAATGGCTTTAAAGCTTTAACCTGCATTAAGGGCTTTTAAATCTTTCGAGTTCAGTGTAGTCGTTAGGAATGTACAAAATACCACAAGCGGCAACTTCACATCTTTTAATCGTACCAAGAGCGCGTGAGTGACCGCTGTATTAAGACCGTGACGCAAGACCGTTATTGTATTAAGACCGTGACGCAGCCCAGACGTAGGATATAAAACTCACGGCAGCGATGTTGGAAGCAACGCTGCGTCGTGACGGCCCAGGGAAGGAGACGTCGCGTAGACGCGCGTATTCCGAGTCGCTGTCGTGCGCGTGGTCGGAGTCCGACGCGTCTTGGGGGCGGCCGCCGCTGCGGCGTGAGTGCCGCTTGCTTCTGTCAACCGCACAGAATTGAGTCCACATATAAATAAATTAAACAAACGTGTCAAAAATTTAAACACAGTCGTCATAATTAAACACACACGTCAGTGTAATAAACAGTGGAAATTTAAAGAATTAATCCAGTGTAAATTCAGTGAAAATTGGTAAAATTGAACACTCGCGCCGTTTAATTTAACACAGTAAACACTGAAGGCGGAATTCACAGGTACATAAATACTGATGTGAATTGCAGCACTAGGGAACTGAACGCTCGGCGTGATTGCTTTGGATTTCGTTAGGAGAACTTAATTAATACACCGGTGATGAAATCGAATAAAGCAATTCAGTGCAATATATCCACGAGCACATTTTCCATTCAGCATATCCATGAACACATCTCCTCATCAACATGTCCACCCCAACATGTTCCTTCACATGTTTCCTCGCATCAGGCCAGCAAAAGTTGCAGTAGCGCCGTCAAGGGAATTCTTTCACTTTGTACCAGCAGCTTTATATTTGATTTGCTGTTTTGAAGTTAGGAGCAAAACAAACGCAACTTAATTAAGTTTTGGGAGCACAGCTGCTGTTATTGATGATGCAGCAGTTTGACTGCCACGCAAGATTTTAATCGGCTAGTAATTATAATACTTTCAAAATGGTGAACTGAATTTCTTTCATTTATGCTAAACAAGATTACAACGTACAAATTCTGTTCAGTAAGAAGCCAATTGTTATCAGAATGTTTCATATAAAGAAGTTAATCAGCAAGCATTACATGCGGTATCGTGGGGGTTGATTGAGTGTCGTTGATTGCAAATTGATACGCACACAAATTTTCTTTGATGGAGAAATTAACAAAGAAATAATCAAGTATGCATCAAAATTGAACGGCAAGTATCTGCTGTGTAGACGAGTGAAACGGCTGCGCTTTCGGAATAAACTGGGAAACTGCGTTTTCATTAAATCCAAAAAATTATATTGTTTCTTATTTATTAATATATAACTTTTGTGTGAAACAAACACATTTTAAGAATCTAAAAATTTTTAATTTTTAGCCGCATCATAATTAATGACGATACGCAAATTGATTCGAAGCGAAAATCGTTGCGCTGAGAGCTAAAGTTTAGAATTATTCTGCACAATTCTATATTTATATACATCAAACGAAAATGTAAATTGTGATCTTATGTCGAAATGCTTATACATTAGAGACATCCGGCTGTTAAATCTCCTTACTTTTGTTTTGAAGAGTTTCCTTCTTTGTTGCACTTCGTCAGATTTTTCTTTTGCAATAACTGCTGCTGTTGTTGCTGATGCTGCAGTTGCTGCTGCAAGGCCTGTGGCATGACCCAGTAAATCTCATCCTCTTGCCCTGCGGCCTGTATTAATGAAGTAGGAAGTAACTTTACCAACATTATAATCCTTTATTAAAATGATATGCGAGACTAATTATTACTTATATATTTTATAATTATTCTGTTAGAATGATCGAGAATAATATTATTAATATTTGACAATCTCAATGGAATTTGAGAAATATCCTGTCATGTCGAGTTTAAATTTAGGCCACAAAAGGAGGCGTTAGGTTTGCGGTTATTATGACAGGGCATAAAACATAGCAATTCTGCGTATTAACGGCGTTAAATACATGCGAGAAATATTCGTATAATTATAAATTGTTATTTAACCATATTAGGTAAACTTGGGATATTGATGAACCTACACGCATACGCTGTTTTTTAATGCTTTCGATTCCAGCTGTGCGGAGGCACATTTATGCACCTCCAAACTTTGTATCTATTTATACCTGAACCTGAGGACGAGGATTCGCTGACAAAGTGCATGTGGGATAAGTGAGACGCCATATCTTTAGAGTACTTTGCTTGATATGGGGTTGTAAAACATGAGCGTTATATTATTGGTATAAGGCTAAAACGTCGATTGTTAGGTTGGAGTAGCTCTAATGCGAGTTACATGGCGGCACACTTGTCAGTTACTGGGGGGCCTTACTAGGGTTACAAGCCCTTTTATAGAACAACGGCTTCCGCCCAAAATTGAGATCCAGATCGCGTGATGTGTCACGTCATGTTGTCCATGCTGACTCAGGTCTAGTACTTTTCCATCAATCTCCACCACGTCATCACCAATCTCTACTAATAATGAATACACTAAGACGCCTTATAGACACCGGACACAGGCGTACAATTTTCGTAAACTCACAAGAAAAATTTAAATTTTTCAACAAACAGCCATGCTAATTCCGGGGAAAATATATATCTGATTTTCTCCTACAGCTTATTAGTTCATTCGTAAAACAAAACTTCATTTTGAAATAATTTAAAGTAAATACGCCACCGCACAGCCAGTGCCGTTGCAACTGCTTAAGATAATAAGAAAAAACCGAGCCTCGAGGGAACTCCTTGAGCTTCAAGAACGCCCATGGGGCCAGGGACTCTGAATTACTTACGAAATCCTTAACACTTAGACTACTAACTCTTGTTGCCAGGCCTTTACATAGGTACGAATAGCGCTGATAGCGGATAATGCAAAATCATAGATAATAATATGCGTTTAAAAATTGCTTTTTAAAGACGACATTTCTGAACAATTCAGTATCTTGGATGTTACACATGTACAATGAATTTCTAATTTCATTTTCAAATACTGAAAAAAAATTATTCTTCAAATTTTTATAAGATATCAAAATTTTGTAAATTTTAAAAATTATTTATTCTGTCAATTGATTCATGCATTGTCTCTGACTTTATGCAATTGTGCAAAATTTCAGATCAATTGGGCAGGTCAAATTGTGTCATATATGGATTATAAGATTTGTAGGAGATGAAATTATTTTTTAATTTTTTTTAATATTGAAAAAAAATATTTTAATTTATAAAATTATTTATTCTGTCAATTGATTCATGCATTGTCTCCAACTTTACGCAAGTGTGCCAAATTTCAAATCGATTGGACAGGTAGAAGTGTGTTAAATATCGATTATAAGATTTGTAGCAGACAGACAGACAGACAGACAGACAGACAGACAGACAAACAAGAAGTGAAGTTAAAGAGAAGTGTTGTAAAAACCAGGAATAATCACTACAAATTTGAATTTTTTCAGACTAATAAAAACGATTAATTACAAAGTTATTAGCTTCTATGACAGTTACGTGAAAAAATAACGTCGAAAGCGGCCTGGCTTTCGGCGTTATTGTTTAAGCTTTTGTTAAGATTTTATTTACCTGAGTACTAGCCTGTGAACCGAGGAGGATACAACATGCACAGAATGAAATCTAATTTACTGACGTTATATTTGATGGTAAAGGAAGCCACCCGAAACTAATTTTAGCCGAACACAAAAAATTACTCGATAATTGTAATAATATTTTAGATTACTTTAAATCACGAACGCTCTGGATAACATAACTAATGACATCTTCTATGTCAGTAAACTCATATATGCTTTAATATTGCTATGATATAATGCTTTAATAATGCTATACTTCAAGTTAAATGAATATACTCACGTGAAGCGGAAAATACGCACGGATTTAAATTAATATGGTTTAATACAAATGAATACACGGGTTTCAAATCAATTTCGGATTTCAGTAATCTGAAGATAAAGCCGTTAGACATCTCAAAATATCGCAGTTCTTTCATGTCTCAAACACGCAAGCAGCACCAGCAAATAATCCCACAACGTACTAACCTTCTTCTCAGCCACCGCCCCCATCACAGTCTTCATGAGGGCGCGCTTTGGGTCCTGGTCTTGAATGAGGTACGTCTTGCCGGCGCCCACCACCAGAAGAGGCGAGTTCGCGCCCTCCAGCTGACAAATGCATACTGGTAATTTATTATGAATACAATTTAGATTTTAAAATAATCATCTTTCAATCGTGTGAGATATTTTCGACGACATAATAAGCTCCATATTTCGGGATACCTTAATTATGGTAGTTAAATCCGTAGACTTCAATGTCTTAGCGGATGATACTCAAATACTGGTAGCAAAACCCGCAGACTTAATCAACGTTGCGGTGATTTCCACTTTAGTTACATTTTTATAAACAATCAAGTGAATGGAGGAAAAATTTGTGTATCCTCAAATTATGCCGTTGGAAAGAAACCATATTTAGTAAATTTTCAAACGATATCTAAAATTTACTCATTACGAGTTTCAGGGAATTATTTCTAAGCTAATAAAAGAAGACATTGGTAAGCGCATAACACCCGCCCCTCACCTGCCCCGTAACTCCCCGCCCCTCACCTGCCCCGTGACCCCCTATGACCCCCCTGCCCCTCACCTGTCCCGTGAGTTGCACCTCGTTCACCAGTCTGATGGAGTGTGGCCCCGCCACGGTGGCCTGGCTTATCAGGACCCGCACCTTGAACACCCACCACGACTGCAACAAACGCACGCAACTTTTAGCAGTAGTATAAGTAAATATTTATTTAAAGTATTTGTTTGGTATTTTTTTAAGTATTTAAATAAGTATTTATTTAAGGAAAAAAATTACATCTTAAGACTACATTTAGTTTAAGAGGACGGCACGCTAGGAAACTTACAGCTTCATGATTTTGAGAGTGCGATTTATAGCTGAAGAAACTTCATGTACTAAAAAACTAATGTATATTTCTCCATTTCAATACGTGTTATTAGAGAACCGTCAAGCTTCATAATTTGAGAAAGCTTCTTAAATTTGAGAAAAGCGTATAAGTGCAATTCATAACTAAAGAATCTTCATGTATTGAAAAACACTGGAGGGAAATTTGCCTGGCGCCACACAGGACGCCAGTAAAGATAAGGTAAGTGCGACACTTGGACGAGCCCGTCGCGTCGAAGCCGTAAAAACCGCGGGAGGCTCGTGAGATCGATGACAATCAGAGACTGCTTATCAGGCGGGTCGAATGACTCGTCCGGCCGAGGGGAAGTTAGTTCGAGAGGAAAAGTTTGTTCGTTCCGAGAGAAACTTTTTAATTGGTAAAGAGTAGTTAACTTCTCTTGTAATGCTGGAAGCAGGTGAAACAGTGATTACGCACGCTTAGTTATAATTCCTTGTGAAAAAGATATTTAAAAATATTACATCGGAAAACAAAGAAAACCTGAAAAAGTAATTTATGATTAAAGCATTTCAAATTCAGATTATTGCGACAAAGACAAAATGACGTTTTCTTAAAATATTTATGGAAGAGAAAATAAAATTTGCAATCCCAAACAATTAAATTTATTCATCTTCATGGCTTGGAACACTCTGAAATATTTATTTCTGACGAAATTTCAAACTTAATAACTAATTACCATTTTAATGATCAACATGAATTTATAAAATCTTTTATACCACTTTTTTGTTGCTAAATAACATCTGATTACAAATATTCATGAACTATTATATAATCATGGCTAAGATCACGTGACTACTTGGATCGCAAATTAACAGAAAATATTTGTAATATCATCGTTTTGAAATTCCTCCTAATCAGCAAGCGCTCCATAGAAATAATCACCTGATATAAAGGGGAATTTAAGCTTAATGCAAGGCTAACCTTAAGCGTAAGCGCCATCCAGAGCAGCACCCAGAGCAGGATGTGCACCAGACAGGCAAGGGTGGCGGCCAGAGCTGCGGTGTCGTATGAGGCCGTGTATACGACCACCCAGTCGTGTAGCAACGGCGCCGTGCACCCCGTCACTGCCAACACCCATAGCAGCGCAACGCCATGTGGCAAGTAACCGCATCGCACCTGTGTTACACCAGCTCGAGGGTAATGTAGCTTAACATGTGTTATTTCTTCAAAATTTGTTGTTCATTTAAAACAGCCGACATCTGTGTTACACCAGCTCGAGGGTAATGTAGCTTTACACGTGTTAGTTCATTCAAATTTGTTGTTCATTTATATAAGCCGGCAACTCATCCTATTTATGTAGAACAGTTCGTGTGAAGAGCGTAGCTTTACACGTGTTATTCCTTCAAATTTCTTGTCCCTTCATAGCATCCGACAAATTATTCTACTTATGTATGAGAGCTCGTGTAAAGAGCGCAGCTTTACATGTTCTCCTTGGCGATCCATAATCACTTCAAAACTTATACCTACAAAACTTATACTTTCAAATCATATCCCTTCATAACTTATCCCTCCATATGTTATCCCTTCATATCGTATCTCTTAATATCGTATCCCTTTAAATCTTATCTCTTCATATATTATCCCTTCATATCTTATCCCTTCAAATTTGTTATCTATTTAAATTTGCTTATCCTTCATAGCAGCCGGCAACTCCACGCTCTCGGACACACTTTATGTAACCTGGCAACTCATTCGGGTGACGTCATTAAGCCTTAGAAGGTTTTAGGGCAGCAGGCTGGGAACTTAGGTCTCTGGTCGCCGTAAGTCAATAATGAGAGGCTCGAAGTTTATTAAGCCGCAACGTAATATCCAGCCTTGCTGTTGTCAAGTTAGGATAAGCGATACGCAGCTGCGGAGCATCACATGCCACAAGGCAGACTACATCATTCTATTTCTAATCAATCAAAAGATTTCTAACCCAAATGTTTTGTAGATTGATTAATTTTGTTTAGAAGTAGCTGTCAGTGTTCGGCGCCGTCATTGAAAGATTCGAAAGACTTTTCTCAACACCTCCGAAAAAACAGTAAGCTTAAATTGCCAAGCATCAACACAATTAATATTGCATTCAATCTGCAAGAAAAGAATCTGACAAGGAAAAGTCTGAGCCAGTACTGAGGGACTGTCCTCACTCTGTAAGGGGAGACTAAAAAGAGGGGAGCCGCCTCATCAACATGCAGCGCCACGTTCGCAAACATGTGGTCATTAACGGCAGATCGAACGTCCTGCTCACGCTTTCATAATCGACCACTTCTTCAGGACCCTAAGGTTGTGATAACACAACAAGTTCGAATATTTCGCGTATTTGAATACTAGAAGGTTGTTTGATTTTCAATTCTTTCCTTAACATAAGTTTCAGATTTAAACTCATTTACTGGCCAGACCTAAAAATAAACACGGTTTTGAAAGCAATGCTGTAAAAATCACTATATAGACTTTCTTAGAAATGCAATATTATCAAAAGAAACGTACTTCAAGACTCGATTCCATACTTTGGAATTGTAGATGTTTAGTTTCGATGCAACCGCACTCAATACTTGCCGAAATATTGTGCGGCTGCCGAATTATTGGCAAAAAAGTTATCTTCAATACTATTAGCAAAATTTAGGAAGGCAAATAAGCAGTGAATTGCCAGGCTAGCGATCGGCATTGTTTGGCACCTACCACCTGCAAGTTGCAGGGCTCAAAATGTCGCCTGCCACCATTATGCATTAATCCTATATACATGAATCCTAATCATATATGCGGTTTACTCACCTCATATCCGTACTTGCTCATGATGTGATATTTTTCTTTCTCTGACGCGATGAAGTGTTGGAATTTCGTCCAGCCGTACTGGTAGACAATGCATCCCGACAGCAACACGAGTACCTGGGTGGCCGTGAACACCGAGACAGTCACGGGTACGGTCATGATGAAACCGTCGAGCTCGGCCAGCACTCGTTCAGGGTCCACACATCGTACTTTATAGAGCACTTGGTAGCCGTTCAGGGAGAGCAGATTGTGGAGCGCGTTAACAAGCAGCTGGCCGAACATCAGCAAGCCGAACGCCTTGTTCGTGCCCCAGAATACGCCCGCGTACCTGCGATGACGTTTTATATTGAAAGATACTATTACATCTGGAATATTATCTGAGGCACAAGTCCTACTCATATGTCCCTTTCAAGACTGAACATAAATTACAGGATAATAAATGTAATCGAAATATATATGCCGCAACAGATTCAAGTTTAATGTTAATACATGGTCGTTGCTACTTCTGTACATGGCGGTTACGTGGCCAGATATTTTGACAGGAAGAGGAGTCATTTCATTTATTATAAGCTATCATCACGCAATGAAAGGCGTTCTACACAAAATAATGCACCTGTTATTCATCAGTAACTAACCTTCCAGCATATACGAGATGTGCCACGATATAATTGACAAGATGTGGGGATACAGGACCCCACGGTACCCCCACGACGTGCCATAGGTCCACACCGTCCCGCCCGCGCACCGCACCCGCGTCTGTGAGGTTATGGTCCCCGGGGGCGGTGGGGCGCGCGTCCGGCACGATGAGGTCTGGCTGCGTGTACAACAGACCATCCATACTCGAGTTGTGAGGGTCTGACGGGTGCAAGTTAAGAACAAATTAAGTCTGGTACTCAGAACCCTTGAACTTTGTTAACGTTTAGCTCGAGTAAACCGATCAATAAATGCAATAAATGTTTTTTTATCACTGTGTACTGAGAAGACTGATTCATAGAAGATAAATTGAATTCTAGAAGATATTATCCAAACATAGTGTCGTAATAACCAAGAGCTCAACTTCAAATAGGGTGATTATATCACTCTTTTTACTCTGTGCTTATATTACATTATTACATTAGAGTTTAAAAGAGGAATCAAGTTCTTCAAAGTACGCGTCCAGGTAGGGAAATTCGGATGAAAACCTTTTTTCAAATGGTTGTAGGATTCGAGTGGCACGCTATTACCGAGGCTTTGCGTGAAAAGCCTTGCCATTTAAAGAGGGACTGGAGTGCCTGCCGTGCGAGGCTGCGAGGGCAAGAGGGTTGCTGAGCATCGGCATGATGCTATCACATTGGGTAATGATGCTCGGTCTGCAGCATCGCACTATTAATCTACCATGTTAAAAATGACCTGTATTATAAATTGTATGGCGTTCCGCATGGTTCCTTACTATGGACAACTTTAGAAAATCTTTCTTCGCATTCAATAATAAAATATGCAGTACTATTGACCACTTAAACAATGCTAATTTTTTATATCGAAGTATTTCATAAAAAATATAAAATTTTGATATATATTCGTGTTTATATTAAAAGCACGCGTGTATCATTGTACAAAAAGAGCAATTTATGTCTACAGTTAAGCGAGAGGGGAATTGAGTGAAGAAGCTTCTTCCCTCACAGCTTTGTTTGCTCTGCGAAGTAGAGTCGCTCTGTATATATTAACTCTGCTACAGTTGCTATGGTAAGATATTTACGAACATCAGAGTCATAGTAGAACTTGCTCAGTCTTCCGCATTTATGACTTCAATATTCAATGAAAAATTTGATCAATTTCAATCGCAAATTTCAATTCAATTTCAATCGCAATCTAAGTGGCTGTTTCACTGCCACTTACTTGGTCAACGACTGCTGACACCGAACGCAGTCGTCGACTTTTCTCTTCCTAACAGAGTTAATTGTTTTCACAGCACATTAATCGCAAACAGGCTGTATTACAGGAACCGTAAACACAGTATACTCTAGCTAATTTCTTCACAACTACTCAACGTTCGAAATAAGCGGAGTGAATGTTGAAATTTCAAAGCGAATTTCGTGAAAAATATTGTCGGAATTTTTTATTAAATACGATACAAGAATCAATCTTCATGAATTCTCAGCATAAAATCTCTTTAGTTCGTTCTCAATACCTAAATAAATGGCATTTATTTATAACTCTCGATAAATTACTGTTACAGAACAGCACGGCAGCATTCCTGATCTGTGTGATAGGCTTCAGTGAAAAGCTTCAGGACACATTAATCGCAGATGACCAATATGGCGGCCGTTTAATTATATAATTACCAATGAAACTCACCGGGAGGCTCATGTCCGTGCAGAGGTCTAAACGCGTGGTTCACCAGCATCCAGAACCGTGACAGACGCTCCCGCTCCGGCAGGAAGGCGGCCAGTTCAGACCGCCACACGTGGTCTGTAGTCGGTCAAATAACACGGAGATATAACATGATAACGTAATTTATTTTTCATAATACTAAATTCTATAACATCCATTAGATCTATGTTTGATTCAGCTGCTCTTAACAGATATATATTTCGGTCGGTTTAGTTAACTTAAATGGATAGTTAAAGATGGTTATGGTTATTGAGGCAGAAAAAATTCAACGATTGAACAGGACAGATTTGAAGAGGAACAGGAGCAGTCAACCATATTGTAATTTGACCTGTTAATGAAGCTCGACAACTGAAAAATGTCACCGAACTAAAACTCATCGTCAATTGTATTCTTAGATTACGAATTGTCAAAGATTTAAAAAAAATATAAAAAAAACTATCAATTTTATCATATTCTTAATATAAAGTTACCGCAATCAACTCCATCGCCCGTTCAAGCACATCAAGCATACGAGTACAGGTAATTAAACGGAAGACTCAATTCCCTGCATCAATTGTCTTGAACTTTCGCACGGAAATAAGAAGTTACTTGAGATGTAGTTCGTTTTCCAGTGCATCTATCGAGACCTAATGCAGCGCCACAAAATAAAAAGTAACAAAACGCTTCCATAGCATACGATAACGTAATGGAATATAACGCACCTACCTAAAACGAAGAGCATTACACGTTTCGATTGAAAATCACACGTTTCTGTTAGTGTCACAGGTTTCTGTTAGTGTCAACACGAACAATATTACGCTCGTCATGCGATATTACGACAGTTGTCTAGCACAAACAAGTTTATAACAAATATTCGACAATTTCTAGCTACTTTTTATTGTTTTCTGGGCATTATTGAGACGTGAATGCAAGCCAGCAATGCAATAGAGAAAGAGAAGGCGCCCTGGCGTCATCTGGGAGACGCCGGCCTCTATATTGCGTCGCGCAGCTCCAGCTTTTGCCGGACAAAGCCAGCTGGCGCGGCCATATTGCAGCCATCAGCCAAGCATTATGGCGACTTTGAGCACAGCTCATGAAATCAATGCCCAGAAATCGTGCCCGGAAGCCCAATGATGTGAGACGATCTTATTTAAAGGGTTCCATTTTTGCACCTGTTTAGGCTTAACATAATGAAGGAATTTATATAATTTTTCATGATTTGAAGAAATTCATGATAATCTTCTCAAATAAACCAGATATCAAAAGGATTCACTCTCAGTTGTTCGTTTGTATTACTCATTACACCATAAATTCTCTCAGGAAAAGGAACGTGTCAATCGGTCCTGAGCATCAAGCTTTAAAGAAGGCATCTATTCATGTTTTCGTCGGCTGGCGCTGGCGGAAAAACGCCTTAGATTTTATCGCGTCTAAATACTCGGCATTCTTTCGTTTATTATATATTCAGCATTATATTTATAAACACTAACTTGCACAACATCAATAAAAGAAAAGATGTGAAACCAACTTAAATATATCTCTATATCTCATCAGCGATGAAAATGTCATGAGAATGTACACTTGTTTCATGATTACATCACATTTAACTTCTGATTGTACACGACGTATAGGTTTAACTGGAACGTCCTAGCATAAGTTTTTTTATTTAAATTTAAATGACAATTCTGGAGCCGTTTCCTCATTTTATTTAGATATAAAAGAAAGCCAAAACGCAATTCCAGATCGCAATGGTAAGACTTACCCAGACATTATTGCAATTGCCGTCAGTTATACATTAGTTTCTCAAAGTTGCGAGCGATTTTCACAGATGGAAACTAATAGCCACTGCAATGCCCAGTCAGTAAAGATCAACTAATGAAATCTGGGGTCGGGTGAAAGGAGTTTGTTTTGATAGACACGTTCAATAGATATCGTTCCCAACGATACATACAGAAACAAGTGCAAAATTTTGCTTATTAAAAAAATATTATATCATATGTGCGATATCATTATGGAAAACACGAACAGGAAAGAGGTGGGCCAGATTTTCGGGAGAAGAGGAAATATATCAAAAGTAGATATAAAAAAAACGATAGAAGCATTCAATTGCGTTATTGTTGAGAGATTCTGGTATAAATTAATAGATATTCTGGAAAAGAAAGCAGATGGACGTTTTTCCCTCTTTCTTCAGAGTGCATAGACATCAATGTAATTTATTTACCCTCCTCGTGTTACGATATGAGGTTCCTACTGTGAATAATCGTGTCTTTGAGTAGAATGGAAGAGCAAGCATTTCTAATACGCCAACACCGACGTCGCTCTTGTCCGCTGCAGCTGCGTATATAAGCGGACGCAGCTTATCAGATTTACGGGCCCATACGAGCGGGTTCAGGAATCCATCTCGTTCAGTCCATCAGCGCAAATTGACTGTCGTTTGCACACTTTGGCGGACTGTAATTCAATTGGCGGAAGCGAGCGTAAATGGATCAATTCATCGGTGGCTCAGAATGACATTGTTGAATGGGAGAGCGTGAGTTGGATTGGCCGTGCGCTCAATCGACCTGCGTACTATACGCGTATTGCAGCTCACAGTGCTACTGTAAAAATATAGAACCGTATTTTAAACAATTTTTTTGTCTTACTCATGTGCGTAATGCAAGAAACGCGAGCCCGTATATTACTGAACTAAAAACGATAACATGGATCCCAAACTTAATCATAATAACTGCAAATTTAAAATTCATAAAAAATAATGAAAATTCAAAATTCATCCAAATGAAGGAGCTCGAACGAAGCCAATTAATTTGCATTGCACCGAAATTCTTCACTGGGCATTTTTGTCCGTACGCGACTGACAATTCGCATCTCGGAGCGTAAAATTTGAATTTCCGATATCCTGTACCAGGGCTTGAGAAAGCAAAAAACAGAGCGTCTGTATCTCAGCGACCAGTTTCTTTGAACACTAAACGTGAGCGAGAAGCGACGTCTAAGAAAATGTTTATGCCATTTGCGATAAAAATACATAAGTGGACCATCATAAACATTACTACCCTGTTACTACGAGGTGAAAAACTGATAGTCAAACGATAGCTTTAGTGAGGACTAAAATTTTCACACACCAAGACAACAGATGACATGGTGAAAAGCGCATAAAGAGAAAAAATTAGATCAATACTCACTGCAGTGAGTGGCTGAGCACATTTTCTCAAAATCTACGAAAACGTGAAGTCACGGACGGAGGGACGGACATGACGAGCACAATAGCGCGTTTTTTCCATAAATGAGAAAATGCGCTAAAAAATCATGGAAACTGACTAAATTATATCCTTTTTTGACAATTGTCTGACCTTGAGGTAGGAAATTCTGCTGCACGGCCGTGGTCTCAAGGATCATTTTGGCCATGAGGAGTGCATGTGCAAGCACGAGGTGCAGGAGGGGAGCCACGGGCCCCCCGTGCATCCAAAGCCCCCCCTTGGGGCGCGGGATGGGCGGAGGGTCCTTAGAGCACGCGCCGTCGTGGGTGCCCAGACGGTAGCCATCGTTGGCGAGGTTGCCCACCTTCAGCACCGCGCAGCAGAAGAAGAAAGGCAGCAGCACAGCCGCGATACCCACCAGGGCTGGGGGTATAAGAAGATATAATATATACAGGTTGTCAACACATATATACAGGTTGTCAACACGGCACCAGAAGATAAGGATTTGTATGATTATATTCAATCCGATGGGATATTGTAGCGAGCTTAATGAGGTGAAGCGTCGCTTAATGAGACGGTCATGCCCGAATTAGGTAACGCGTCTAATGAGATGGTTCCGCTTAAACGAGGTAACGTGTCGCCTAATGAGACAGTCTTGCACTAATGAGGTAAAGCTTCACCTAATGAGACAGTCTCGCCCTAGTGAGGTAAAACTTCACCTAATGAGACAGTATCGCCCTAGTGAGGTAAAGCTTCACCCAATGAGACAGTCTCGCCTTAATGAGGTAAAGTTTCACCTAATGAGACAGTCTCGCCCAAATAATTTAAAGCTTCACCTAATGACAGTCTCGCCTTAATGAGGTAAAGTTTCATCTAATGAGACAGTCTCGCCCAAATAATTTAAAGCTTCACCTAATGAGACAGTGCTGCACTAATGAGGTGAAGCTTCACCTAATAGACGGTCTCGCCTTAATGAGGTGAAGCTTCACCTAATAGACAGCCTCACCCAAATAATTTAAATTCACCTAACGAGAGAGTCTCGCCCTAATAATTTAAAGCTTCACCTAATGAGTGAGTCTCGCCCAAATAATTTAAAGCTTCACCTAATGAGACAGTGCCGCACTAATGAGGTAACGGGTCGCTGCCACTCATCAAGGCAATTATCGCGGCGATATCGCCCACTCTTCGCTGCATCGACTTCCGTTCATCGATCCTCGCGCCTGGCACTCATCGACGATTTATAACTCCTTTAAATAATTATATTCATATATAAATAATTATTTTCGTAACTTAATAATTATCTTCATAACCGGATACTTAAATTAATAGATGCAGAGTGATAGAATTAACTTCCAGCAGGTTGGATGCACCTAATTCTAGGAAATTCATGGAAAAACACAGTCGCCTAACATCTGTTTTTAATTTTGTACCTGCGTTGAACAAAATGGTCAATAAATTCTGGGAATTTATCAATGATATATTAATATATGTCGATTATATATTAAATATTCTGTGCAACAGGGTGGAAACTGAGACATGAAAGATTCTGATAGGAGCATCAAGAATTTGTCTATAAAATAAAACCTTTAGATTGAGGCATAAAACCAGTTGATCGTGGTACCACAATAAACTCGTACCACTATCAACTCGTACCACTATCAACTGGTACCACAATAAACTCGTACCACTATCAACTCGTACCACTATCAACTGGTACCACTATCAACTGGTACCACTATCAACTGGTACCACTATCAACTAGTACCACTATCAACTCGTACCACCATCAACTCGTACCACTATCAACTAGTACCACTATCAACTAGTACCACTATCAACTGGTACCACTATCAACTGGTACCACTATCAACTGGTACTACTATCAACTGGTACCACTATCAACTGGTACCACTATCAACTGGTACAACTATCACACTTACCATGACCAATGGTACCACCACGATCAATTATATTTTTGTGATGACGCTGGCTATAACGAACGACGGCTGGCAGTGATGGTGGCAAGAGACTGCACTCTATCAGCAAAAATTTGCCTCAGTTAAGTAGTCAAATAATGCAAGGAAGGCGGAATTCCAATGCCCGGCAGCCATTGAAGAGAACTAAACGCAGTTTCGAGTTAGCTTGGCGCTATAAGGGCAGAATTTCAGCATCCATTACCGAAAATTTACCGCAGGATTTACAGCGCCCAAACCTTCAAACTCATTCAAGTCGAGGAACTTTACGAGCATGCTAACTCTCCCAAACTTGAGCTTGGTAAGGATGGCGCTGACTCAGCTTCTTAGGATTGAAGAGAAAACTTCGGGGCACTTGCACTGGGTCGCTTAGTTAACTAATTTGGTGACTCAAGAATGGCACATGTAGTGACAGACGCTTAGTAAACTAATTTCGCGGTACTCACGCAGGCGCTCAGTTACCTCACGCAGGCGCTCAGTTAACTAATTTAGCGACTCAAGAGTGGCACTTGTACAGGCAGGCGCTTAGTTAAATTATTTGAAATGCTGGCGGTCGGTCGAGATTTCGCATCGATGAGAATGTTGAGCTGATGACAGCGTGGCGAGGTGAAGACAGCACATAAAGCTAAGTGAGGGAAGTGAGGGAGGGAGGGTCGCAGTGTTGTGAGGGCAGTGAGGGAGTGTCGCACTGTTGTGAGGGCGGTGAGGGAGGGAGTGAGCGTAGCAGTGTTGTGAGGGAGGTGAGGGAGGGAGAGTGAGGGAGGGAGGGAGCGTAGAAGTGTTGTGGGGCGGTGAGGGAGGGAGGGAGCGTAGCAGTGTTGTGAGGGCAGTGAGGGAGGGAGTGAGGGTAGCAGTGTTGTGAGGGCAGTGAGGGGAGTGACATATATAGAGTAATAAACCAGTTTAATGGACTAAGGCTCACGTGGTAAACATCAACACGAAGCTCATTAGTTGTTATTGATTTGCTTGCATGGCGTAAAGTAAAGACTTCTCCTGACTGGAATTAGTTCCAGAGTCTACAGTAGAAGCACAGTTCAGTAGCGAGGTGAAGTACGACCGCTTCGTGGCAGCAGTTCTTTGCCTACTGATCGATGTCCACATGTCACGGTCTCCACTACAGTAACGATCCGTGTGCACGATGTATGTAGTACGACTAGTCGTACTACGATTGCTGGTGTACGATCAATCGTGCGTCCTCTAAAATATTACACTTTCGCAGTTTTTAACTCCATGTCTACCAACGGCAACTCTCGTTACTATATTGTGCTAGGTACGGATAGCATAGACGCCGGTTAATGTATCCGTAGACAGAGGGGTAAACAGTCCGCTGAAGGATTGTAACTCACGCAAGTAGCCCGTCCGCATAACATATTTGCGATTCATGTTTATCTCCTGAGTAAATGACTGCTAAAACAACCAAGCTTGTTACCAATCTCGACGTCTCGTTCAGAGCATGGCAAGTTCAGCTCTCGCGGTCTGATCTCTGGATCTGGCGTCCATGCCTACGTAAAGGTATCCTGCATAGCGGCGGGGCATGGAGCTAGGACCCTAGCAAATGCGGTCTCTGATTGACGGCTGAGAATTCACGCAAGCGTCATATAATGTCAGCAAATTGTTCTTTCATCAGGAAATATTTATATTTGGCTCTTTCATTTCGGCACACAGCTTGTGAGGATGCACACGGATGATGCCGTGTCAGCTCCTGCGTATATATGCCAGCTTAGCTTTCATTTTTCATTTTCATTTCCCCTTGCCATTTAAATTTTTAGTGAAAATAAGTAATTTGTTATCTAGAAATTTCGATTGAACTCTGCTAAAAATTATTTTATGCACACATTAAAAGCTCCAATAACTGATTTTGGACAGTAAAAAAAAATTCGTAAGCGAAATTTCAATTCCTAACTGTCTTTAAATGAAAATTTTTTAGCAAAAAAGAATATACAGAAGTATTTTGATAAATTTTTTTCGAAAGCTATTATTTTTCATTTGAATCGAAGAAATTTCAAGTAAAATGATGTAAATTATACTTGAAAATCAAACAAAAACAAATTCCAAGAAGCAGCTTGAAGCTTCTTGCTAAGCCTCCTACTACAGAGAACGGTTAATGATTCAGCTGGAAAAATAAAACTAGTGATGATGCTCAGGAAAGACTTTTGCTTTACAAAACAAGAGTTTTGCACTACGTGCCAGCAAACTTTTCGCTGGACGTTTACTACCAATGGTAGTGTCCAGGTATGCTCATTATTCCATCGTACGAAAGTTCGAACTAAGCAGGTATTTTTAGTACATCTTGCTCTACAGTAGCACTCAGATGACCGCAGAGGGCTAAGTGCCTCCATATATGAGGGAACATAACAACCATAAGGGAATTAGAGGGAAGAATAAGAGAGGGGTTACGGCCCAGCCTGCTCTCAAGAGTGGCACAAGGCAGGTTCTTTGTCCATTCACATTCTACCGAATAGTCACATTGTGTTCAACCAATAACCGGAATCGAGCATTCCTGTGTATAATATCACAACAAAGGAGAATAAATACTCCAATGATTACTGAATAAAATTCTTCGACTTGTTACGCACTTACGGTAATGGCTTGTCTTACAGCTTAAAAGCATTCCAGATGAGAATTTATGGACTCAGTATAGAATCAAGCAAGCCATGCATATACAGTATGTATATCGAATATGTCAAATGTTATAATGCTTACAAATATTCAACAGCACTTATCATTTAGAGACGCACATTGAATATTTAGGAATAAAATTACATTTAATTTTCGTTCAGGATCGGTGTAGCTTATGATCAGAACGCAAGACTTGATGTGAAACTGACTGTACTGAGCCGGGGGGCAAGCATGCTTGTGATAATGTATCTATAGCGCGAGGTCTCATACCATTCCATAAGTAAATTCTTGGTTTCGTCAGTCTGATGTCACAAGCTAATTTGTATACCTACTAATACTTTAGTGAAGCTGATGTCACTTATTCGTATTCTAATACTTTCGTCAGTCTAATGTTATTAATTCGTACATAAATACTTTTGTCAGGCTAATGTAACTAATTCAAATACTAATATTCTGGTCAATCTAATATAGTTTATTCGTATATAAACAATTCGTTCAGTCCGATATCACTCATGTTGCTGTGGTGACGTAAAAGCCAACACTGAACGTAGGATAAGCGACGGAAAAGAAAAAAAAATTAGCTGAAAGCTCTTATGTAGGGGGAAAGATCATCAATAAAGAGTGTAAAACCACTATTAAAGGACTATAATTATCTGTTAAAAATGTAGAACCATAACTCAAGAGATTATCCATCAAGAGGGCTGGACCATTATTTTCATCAAGCTCGAGAAATGAGTCCTCAGACTTTTGCTATAGCCACCAAATATCACAGAAATGCTGCGAGGAAAGCATATGCCAACATAAAATTGAAGAAGAGGAATTAATAACGTACTTTCACGCGGAACTTTGTGTGTTAGTAGAACTTTACGGTCAGGATAACGATCACATAAGTTGTAAGAGTCGTCACGAGGAGCACGTACGGCTGCTGGTTGTAGCTGCAAAGTGCACTTGGTGGCACGATAATTGATGTTAATAATTGACGTGCACTTGCAAGGTATTTTTATCTGGTTAATTTGAATAGAATTTTTTGTCCGCTTTCTTCTTGTACAGATTGAAAGTAATTTTTTAATGTGGCATTAGAATATACAAATATAGTTTGTAATTTGGTTTTTGGGCGTAAAAATGTAAGGAGAAGTAAGTCATTCGTTTGAGCTCGTGAGAAACTCTCTGGTCTGCCTGAGCAAAGCAACATCGATCAGGCATGATACTCACATCTATAGATTTACTATAGAGGACTGTTTTGCTCTCTTATTTTCACGATTTTCCACATTGCGAAAAAAATTCACCAAATTCCACCAAACGTGTAACTATTCTAATCTAATAATTAACTATTTTTGTGTAATACGTTCAATTCCTAAGTAATAATTACGTTTCATGAGATCTATCACGCAAGATGAACCGTTGTTATAAGTTTAAACCCCAAGTTCATTGAATATTGAAGCCTAACGTTTTATTGATAAAAAACGAACGTGCGCAGAACATATCACATATCTAACCTAACGTTTGCTAGACATTTTAGCATGAAGATTCCCAATTATAAGAAAGAAAAAAGCATGAGAGCTATCAATGTATACCGCTTGTCATATAGTCGCAAATGAGAATGTTACGATTACTAGGTATCAGAAAGAAATTATCACTAAGATTCTATTACTAGTAGATTCTATTCCTAGTTTTGAAGATACAACAACAAAATAACCATGTAACACTGACCGAGATGAAGGTTGACCTCGAAGTTAGGAAAGGTCAGAAAGAAATTATTTAAGATTCTATTCCTAGTTTTTAAGATACAACAAAATAACCATGTAACACTGACCGAGATGATCTATTTCTAGTATTTACTCCTAGTTTTCAAGATACAACAACAAAATAACCATGTAACACTGACCGAGATGAAGGTTGACCTCGAAGTTCGGGAAGGCTCCCCGTGGCCAGGGCAGCTCGAGGTAACGAAGGAACCGCAGCACCTCACTGGCGATGACGTATGCACTCAGGCCCACGCTCAGCACGCAGTACGACAAGCTCGACAGGCTGTTCAGGTGGCAGACGCACGACTGCAATACAAACGCAATTTAAAACACGGCCTTACTTTCCAGCTAATAGTTCCATAAACTATAAATGATCATAAACAATGAACCATGTCTAACAACGTACGTTTGATAACAGAAGTAGGAGTGAATTTCACAAATTAATAGCTGTGGCATAATCTTAAAAAAGAATACAGCAGCAATTGAACGTATCTTCTCTAAACGATCAGACACCACATTAACGATGGTCCATATTTTCGTACCGAACAAAGGTACGATCCATTCCAAAAGTATCTTAAATATATACATTCTGTTAATATTACACTATAAAAAATCATGAAAATACGTTCAGTTGAATTTATGATTAACCTTACCTTCTACAAAATATTCCCTCTAAATAATTAAACTAGTAAACTCATTCCACCAAACCTTTTGTTGCCTTTCAAAATTTAAAATCTTGAATATATGATGTGTCGCCAATGCTATAAGTACCTAAGGGCCCATTAACGCGAGTTGCCGTCGGCAGGCAAATATGAAGCTTTTCCAAACCAAAAATATTTGTTGCAGCAACGTACTACCGTCGAGGTTGAAGGGTTCTATATTGGCCGTGATCAAGGACAAAATTTCACTGTAATTACATCTCCCCTTTGCCAAGGCAGAATTATCTGCCAATTGCTCAGGTTAACGTGATAATATGAGTACAGTTTATATTGATCAGTTAATTTTAAAACCCCTAATGGCCTTATTGTATAGGAGCGTAGCGTCTGATAATTATTCGCTGAACTTTGAACGCTTCTACGCTAGCGTAGTGAATTTTGCACAGGAGTGGCAGTCTGCGGCTCGCCGCTCTAGGTTGAATTGTACAGTTTTGCTTCAAATTAGTTCCACTACGTTCCTCAGTATAGCTTTGCTTTTTTCATGCAAATACGCTACTATTGTATTCTCTTATCAGCTTCCAAGATACAACCACAAAGCAACCATGTAATACGTAACAACAAATTTCTTCACATTTTAACTTGCTATGTTTGACGCGGCAGCAACGCGTCAAACGTGGCGTCGCTCGGGAGGCTGTCCTCTAGCTGTCGTATGTGCTCGGTAGGTACGAGTACTTTCAAAGGATGAGGCTTGAATCCCAAACCTGATCTTGAATCAAGGTGCCGAAACGAAGGGTAAAAACGTATATGATAATTTGGCTGAAACCTTGAATTGAGTTTGGAGAAACTTGTGAACTGTTGAGTGTAATAATTCAGTTGTACCTAAGATTAGATTGAAATTACAAATAGACGGGAGGTAAATCATTTCGTTAATCCACATACCGAGGGGTTCGTCATTAGACCCACTGACAGAACTTCAGGAAATGGTAAGCTTTTTACGCTTATATCGAGGCATTGTTACTTCAATACATAATAGGAGCTTAAAGCTAGTCCGCAACCTTCATCACGTTACCCGTAATGATAAGGTTCTATCAGCTTAGGGTAATGATTCAAGACGAAAGTCTCGAAGAATGAAGATTTGCCATGTATTATGAGTCGATCGCTTTTGTGGAGGCCAGACTTCGCCATTTCATTAAAATTGAAGCACTTGTAAGAATGCTACGTCATTTTTGGCCGAGGCTCGATGCAAAGAAGGATGCAAGAGGATGGTAAACAATTTACCTGGTAAGCCCGAGGACCGCAAAACTGATCCTCGACTGAGACTCTTCCGCGCTGGGGATAATGAACGGATTGGGAGGACGGAGCCCCAACTGGGGATAAAGAAGGGATTGGAGGGACGGAGCTTGACGTGGGGATATAGAGGGGAGAGATTGGGCTGAGCCAGCCTCATCCCATAAATCTATAAAGCTCGAGGTATTAAAATGGTTTAAGCGAGCTTTTTTCCTGGAAATAGTTCGTTAACTTTAAATCCGAGAATTCTATCTCAGATTGCATAATGGAGAAACATAAATGCATTCATGCCAGTGAAATGTTTTCTTGCATAATTATTATTTAACTGTACGGGAAACTAGATAACTATTACTTGAAAAAATTTTAGGCAGGAAAATTTGAGTGCCAGGTTTTTCTTTTTGATGTTGTTGATGTATCGTATATGACAAAGTAAATGTTACTCACAGAGAAGGAAAAAACGTTCACAATCCTTTCATCTCCTCCAATGCTTCTATCTTATGCAATACGAAAGAATAATAGTTCAAAAATAATACACTTTCCATCCCCTAATCAGGTGATGAAAACCATTCCCTTTAGATATCCCAGCGCGTTGTGACGTGAAAAATACAAATTGTAAAACAGTTAAAAACGTCGACAGAATAAAATCATCGGAAGTTGCAAGTGAAGAAAACCATACGATGTAGCGTAACTGAGGCTATTAATTTCAGCGTCGTAAAGGATATCAACTCCTGCCATTTTTTCCAACATTGACGGGAACGCCGACTTATAAAGCGCCCACAGTGAGAACCACGCGTGGGCGCTGTGCAGGATTACTGAAAAGCTTAGCTGAAAAATACGGAATATAGCGCGGATCATTTTTCATAAGACGCCGCGTCAGAAAAAGAGGGCTTTACACATTATATAAAATATCTGACATTTTGACTGGGTAAGATTGAGAATCTGGCTGCGAAAAGCCAATATTTAAATAGGGAGAAGAAATATTCATCTTATACTCCTTTCCTTCAAATCTTAAGAATAATCTTTCATCGTATCTTAAAATTTGTTATGGTCTCCTGATTATCAAAATGGGTTGAGGAAAAAATGTATAAGCTTTTGGCTACTGATGCATTACCCGTTGTCAACGATGTTCGTACCTCAAGACCTGGTAACGAGAGTTACCTTTCTTAAAGACCTCGTAACGAAAGTTACCTTCCGTAAACAAAAGACTAAACCTTGACTCATGCTTTAATCAAGCAACACTGTGATGGATAAGATCAAACACCGAAAATTTAACACTAGTCACTTAGCTAATGTCAGAGTTTTGTGGGAGGCTTTTGTAACACCTGAAAAATTGCACACTGCCGGCTATAAAATGCCGTCAATTGAGATATTTTATAATTGGCTATAATGGGTCCATCGAATTCCCTTTTTTATTGTTAGCTTGGATTACCTCTTAATGCCCTGGTTAGAAATTTTAAGCCATGCAAAACTAGGCGGGCTACTGGAATACTTTTTCTATATTTTACTGAACCATGAGAAAGTTATTCGGCACACAAATACAGATCTAATACATCTTGTTCGATCATTGAATACAGAACTTCGTACAATAAGGATATAACGATATTCGTAATTGTCAAAGGCAGGAATTATTAAATGCAACGCGTAACAAGAACTATTACCTCACGCAATTGTGGTTACCCCACACGTAGACATACGTTTATTAAGTGGTAATATAGCACCTACCTTAATCTGTTCAAATATAAGAACAGAATTGAGTTTTAATATAGATATGAATTAACAACAAATCGAAGAATATCAACTAATGTACGATACTAGTAATCACAGAGAAGTAATGCTATAGCTGCTCTCCCCACTCCAACGGCAAATCACTGACTGTTTGGGCTAGTAGTCACTACAATCTTCAACACTGCTCCGTCCACGCTCTAGGGTTCTAACCGGAAACTAAACGTCGTGCGCGTGCAAACGTGACACCTGATTTTTAACAAAGAAGAAACACAAATTTAAAGTATTTGACAATATAAATGTGAATTATTTTAACGCAAGGTGAACGTTAAGTCAACGAACGGCGAAGACTTATTTTGTTTCTTGAAAATGTTTGAGTTCCGAAGTAAAATTGAGAGACTTCAAATGGCTACATACAAATTCAGTCAATCCCAGAATTCCGGGTATTATATTTAAAAATAAATATAGGCAAGTTTAGGAATTTGACGTCCGGAGATTAATATCAAGGAAGAAATAAGCTGGTATGCCGTCCTCAAGGGAGCATAGTAAGCTGATTGCACCATGAAAGGCCGGCCTCCGTCCTCCCGGCATCTGACGAAATAGACAACACAGAACCTCATGAAAATTGCGCGCTATTGCTGCAAGCTTAGAAGAGGCAATTCGTAAGTTATGAATACGAATTTTTATTCATAATATAATCACATTGGTAAACCGTTTGGATCACTTGCCCGAAGTTTGCCAGTACTACTTCTTTGATACGAAGTTTTCCTCTAATAATTCTTTGAAACGAAGTCTTCCAATAAAAGTCCTTTGAAAAACTGTATGTTTTCTCATAATAATTCTGTGAAACCAATCCTTGCAATAATACTTCTTTGAAACGAAATTTTCAAACAATACTTATTTGGAACGAAGTTTACAAATAATACTTCTTAAAACCAAAGTTTTCTAATAATACTTCTCGGAAACACTTCAAGTTCTCCAATAATACTTCTTTTAAACGCCTGAAGTGGCCACTATTTCGTGGCAAAAGTCAGCCTGGCAGGTTTTCGCAGCAGCGGTGGCGCGGCTGCAGACGTTGACTGAAATGGAATCTCGGCGCGGCGGCGAGGGCGCACGGGAAAGGGTAAGGAAAAAGGGATAATTTTGGAGGCTGTGCGAGTGATAATGATGATTGAACTTGGAATGGTGAATGGTGGGGAACAATAGCAGTGGTGATGTCGATTGAATCTAGGCTTGATGGTCTAGGTTTTCTTAGTTGTATTATTGCGTACCTGTGGTATTACATAAAATGATGGGCGCCTCAAGGATTTTCTACAAAAATTTAACATGACCTGATAACAGCAATTTTTGTGTTGTTATATCAGAGAACAGCATCAACTTAATGATCACATGGCTGGTGTTGCTTGATCCTGACTACTAGGACAGTATTAACTACAACAATGACTCCAAATCGTATTTTCTATCGTTTCAAATTGATAATCCTCCTGAATTGGGAAATTATTATAAATCGCTCCAATTCGGGATAACTTTTTAGAGAGCTAAAGGCAGGGAAAAAATGGCCTCAGGGTTTGGGCCCCGATGCACGCGAGCCAAGTCGATAAATCTACGAAAGCGGCCTAAGTGCAAAAATCGCCAACGCGT